GGGGCCGCGTGGGGACACGCCCCCGAGCCCCGCCCACTGCCCCAGCCCCACCCACCCTTCCCATGCACCGCTCCATGGAACCTGTACTGCTTCCTGGGGGCGGGGCCAACTGCAGACACGCCCACCGCCACGCCCCCGATCGAGCCGCACCCCCCACCCAGGCACTGCCCCCTGCGCTCTGTCCTGCTTCCTGGGGGCGTGGCCTCCTCGGGACACGCCTACAGCCCAACCCCTGCCCCAACCCCGGCCAGGGCCCCGCCCCCCTGAGCCCTGCCCTTCTTCCTGGGGGCGGGGCCTCCTTAGGACATGCCCGCTGCCCTGCCCCCAAGGGAGCCCCTCCCCAACTGGCCCCACCCCTTCCAGGTCCCACCCATGCAGGCCCCGCCCCCTCCAGGTCCCACCCATGCAGGCCCCGCGCCCCTTGGCCCAGGCCCCGCCCCTCTTGCTCCAGCCTCACTCCTCAGGCTCAGGCCCCGCCCCCCGCAGGCCCCGCCCCTCACAGGTGGGCGGTGGTCATGGTCTTGGCGTTGCGGGCCTGGGTCACGTGACAGGCGCGGCGGAGCAGCGCGGCCAGGAAGAGCTCGAGCGCCCGCGCTGGGGGCGGGGCTAAGGACACAGGGGGCGGGGACACGGCGGGAYCCGCCCCCGCCCTCCACCCGCCCCCCCGGAACCCGACACCCCCCTTGGGGGCACCTGACACCCCCTATGGGACCTGGGAGCCCCTATGGGGACCCAGGCGTCCAGAGGGGGCGGGGCTAAGGATGAGGGGGCGGGGACACGGGGGGACCCGCCCCCACCCTCAGGGACCTGACACCCCCCCCCCCGGGGGCCCCGCCCCCCCCGGGGGCCCCGGCGTCCGGGCGGATACAGATGATGACGGGGACGGCGGCCGCCACCTTCCCGATCTCCTCGTCCGTCTGCATGATCTTCTTGATGCGTGCCTGGGGGGGCGGGGCCGCCTCGGGACACGCCCCCGGACACGCCCCCCCCTCCCTTTTTTAGGCCGCCACCCGCTCCGTGTGCGCCCTGCGCGCCGCCGCCCTCCGGGCCCGGCTGGAGCCCCGCCCCCGGACACGCCCCCGGTGAGAGCCCCGCCCCTGTCCTGGCCCCGCCCCCCTGCTCCGGCTCACACCTGTTTTTTATTATGAATCGATAACAAATAATTAGCAACACTGGTGATTCATAAATAACTAATTACATTAGTAAATAATTGGTTATGGTAACTAAGATTATGAAAGTTATTGTTAAGTGTTTRAGATCTAGGTTTTTAGTTAGTTTAATAGATACTAAATTAGTTGTTTTTGTTTGTCAATCATCGCCCCCCCCCTTGTGGAGCAGCGAAGAGGCGGAGCTGGAGGCGGAGCTAAAGGCAGCCAATGAGCGCTGGGTGCGGGCAGCCAAGGTGGGGGCTCCGGGCTCCCCCCGGACGCCGGGGCCCCTCGTCAATTCCCCCCCCCGCCCCAGACTCTTGGCTCCTCCCCCA